TTTTTTTTTTTTTTAAATAACAGTGATTCACAAACACTAGGCAGCCAAACCTAATTATGAATTGCAGGACATGTCACTTGTTGTTGCTTTTAAGAGCTTAGAAGCAGCATTTTAGTGAACTTAATGTATAATGTTGTGAAGTTTCCATTGTTCATCACAATGTTTTTCCTGCAATGTCATTCATTGATTTATGTTTTATGAAGTAAACATTCAGCCATTCAGGTCTGGCCCTAAATGCTATCCATTTATTTTCTCAATTAATCAGTTTTACAAGTGTTAAACTGACAAAGACATTTGCAGACTTACTTGGGGTTAATGAGGCAGTAGCTACCGCTGACATTGGTTATTTCTATAGTGCAGTTTCTGTTGGTGGTGAGAGTGGCTGACACAGCCTCAGCTGTTTCTGGCATCTTGACTGCAAGAGAAGCAGGATTGAAAGCTTAGAACAATACCCACTGACAGTTCACCAGCTAGCAGCAACACATTTAATTGCTGAAAAGATTAATTACCTCCAAAAAGCTGGTTTATATCTCTCCTCAAATATAATATTCTCATAAGAATTAACTTAACATGACGTAGGCGTGTTTGAAAACGAGTATACCTTAAGTATACGAGAACAAGAGAAACGTTGTTTTTACAGATGATAACCAAGACAGAAATAAGTTCGAGTCCTATTATAAGTAAGCATAATTAGGTACCTTTTAGAGAAAAATATGTGCGTTGTGCCAGACAGCAGCGTCAACTTCTTTTTCTCAGGTCTTGCAGAGAGCGTCTCCCTTGTGTGATTACACCTCCACAGTGCTTGTGCTAACACAAGCACAGGCGTGTCCATCGTGAAACAAAAGTACCCCATCCACTGTGAGAAATCATATCTCACAAAGAAGCAAGCACCTAATATTACATGATCACAAGATTTAGCAGTAATCTCTACTTTTACTCAGGGGAATAAAAACATTACTGTGCAAATTTTTTACTGCATGGTTAGCATCAAATTTCCAATAAGGTTGTTATTATGCAGCATATTTTAGCAAAATCATACAAAATTACTCCTCTGCAGTTTAAAATTTATCTCACATGTTATTTTCTATGTCAATACTTACTAGATTTAGTGAAAAAAATAGTATTTTAGAATTTCTAGCCTTCCCCATCTTTTATGAGTCCATTTCCATCCCAAAAAATGAATTTAGTAAAACTATTCAAAGCTTGTGGAATATTTTCATGTTCTGTCTTGCTTAGGCTGATGCTACAGTCACTGGGGATTACTCAACTGGCTGCTTGTTTTCGCAAGTGATGACTCGTGATACATTCCTTTGGGAACCTCCAAACATCATTAGCAGTTTTTACACACTTTTTTAGCTCGTTTCACTAAATTCCCATCCAGACTGTGGAATAGAGGAGGAGTTAATTCCTTCTTTCCAGTACAGTAACTAGCAAAAACACTGCATTATGTAACAACACAACACAATACAGTACAGTGTTATATTTTTCCATAAGTTCACAAGGCACGGGGATCTTCCAGAATAAGTTTGTTTGGCGGTGTGTTCATTACTCCACCAAGCAGCTCGAGTAATATGGCAGCTGTTGTGTTCCATTTATCAGATGCCCGGCCCTTGATTTAAATGCTTCAGCTCCTGTGCTTGAAGTCACCAGATGGCACCAAACATGCATTTGCAAAAATACATTTGCACTACACACACTCTTCAAGTTAATGTTTGCTTTCTGATGATTAGCCAGTGACCGTGGCAGAAAATCGCTGACAAACATTAATATATTTAGCATATCCTTCAATGTCCCATGACAACAGCAGTGAAAAGAAAATAAGAAAGAAACAGTGGTCATATTATATACCTTACAATTCTAAAAATCTAAGAGAATACAATATTAATGAGTTTATATAACCAATCACAGTAACATGTTTGAAGTTTCCACACTGGACACTAGAATAACAAATAAACTCAAATTAATCCAAATTAAAGTAATATATTGTCACATAGCAGATTTATTATTAAATGACCACGATACATGGGAAACACTCTTCTGTGACCTCTCCTCTGCTGCCACCCTCAGGCCAGTCTCAATGTTTTAGATGAAACATTTGATCTTGAGTGTTGTTTTAGGAAGGAGTATGCACTTATTAGGAGTATGCATTTATTGGCCTCTTCATTTGTTACACTTTGTTGTATTTTAGGCATATTTAGTAATAAAATAATGGACATAGTCAGCAACAATACTGGTTTCAGATAGGCATTTAAATAATGCTCACTTGGGACTTAAAATATCCTCCACACTGCTACCACCAGTCTGAATGGCTGTTATAAGGGATAATGGCTTTCATGCGTTTATTCTTATTCTTGTTGTTTGCACAAAACCCTGCCCCTGCCATCCAAATGCTGCAGCAGCGATTGAAACTCATCAGCCTAGATATCTTTTTTCCAATCATCCACTCTCCAAATTTGATGAACTCTTGCAAACTGTACCCTCAGTTTCCCGTTCTTAGCTGACAGAAGTGCTGCTGCCCAAAATTAGGTGTGTTGTGCATTCAGAGATAGACTTCGGCTTACCTTGGTTGTAAAGAGTGGTTATTTGTGTGGCATTATCTTCCTATCAGATTAAAAAACAGACTGGCCTTTCTCCTCTGACAAGGCATTTTCACCCAGAGAATTGCTGCTCACTGGATATTTACCCTCTCTTTTTTTGCATCATTCTCTGTAAATCCTAGAAATGATTGTGCAGGAAAATCCCAGTTATAAGTAAATACTTATAAGTGAATATACAGCCCTAAGTACTGTCTCTTTTTAGCTGCACTTTTGAGGCTAAAGGCAGAGATCTTTTATCCTGTATTATGACCCATTTTAGATCACATCCAGAGTAGGTCTGTAAAATTTAAACACACCGAGTTATCTTTCGGAGAATGGTTAATAAAAGGCAATTGGGGATGTGACAAAAGGCAGAACATTAGTAGTCGTGAGTTGCTGAGCCTTTGAAAGTCTTATGATGACAAAGATAAATGCACGCTGAAGACGAAGCCTTATTTGATTATAGCGGCTGCAGTCTCTCAGCCTCACGCCACACATGTTTTTGTCCATCCCTTACGTTCCTTCTTCACTCTGTTTTATGTTGGAAAAGTGACTGTCAGTGGACTGACGCTATTAATCATTTATTTTGGAGGATGATAGATAGCAGCAGAAGCCATCATTATCCAAAAATCTCAGCAGACACTGAACAAATACAGCATTTAATAGGTCCTCCTGAACATTATGTGTCCATCACTGCGCTTGTTTACTCTTCTACCATTCAGCCTTGATTAAAATGTAAAGTGAAATGTTATGTCAGCATGTTGTCACCAGTGAAGTTTTACTGCTCTGAAAATAGCTGAGCTATGAAACACAATCATGTACAGCGGTAAAGGTTGTGCCACAATCAACACCTTGTTGAAATTATATAGCTTAGTAGTACAGTAGCTACACCTCTACAATCAGCAACAACTGCAGTGGGAAGCTGGAAGAGTAAAATAGGAATAGGTCGGCCACACAAACAATATCACAATATTTATGGACTTGTGTCAAATAAAGCGGGGATCATAACAAAAAGTGACTTTCAGTTTTTTACTGGAACACTGGACACTGGAATAAAGAAAATACATTAGAATAAAATAAAATACACAATTAAAAAATAACAACACAAAAAAGCATCAGATGACATCATGAATTGTTAAAAAGTTTGGTTGGTGAACTGTTAGAGTTCTAATTCAGCTCAATTTAACTTTTTTTATATAGCGCCAAATCAAACCAAATCACAACAGTTGCCTCAGGGTGGTTTATATTGTAAGGTAAATACCTTATAATAATGATATTTGAGTATTGTGGCACTAATTATACCACTTTTGCTTCCTTTTTGTACCAGTGTACAATGCAGTATTTGGAAAACGTCAAGTAAACTGAGGTAAGTACAAAGTCTATTCAAAAGCATCAGTTCCTGTCGCATAACTGCTCCATTTTGTACTTATTTAGTGTTTATGAGGCAAACTGAGTGAAGTGCATGGCACAAAGGAGGCAACAAGCTGCAACAATTTCCTGTTCCCCAGCCCTCTATTTGGGTCAAAAGTGCAACAATCTGTGTGCCAGAGATGACAAGAACATTTCAACTGCAATGTAAATGTAATCATTTTAGACCTCCGTATGACTAAATCAAACAAAGACTGACTCGTGTCTTTTGACAGCAGGGGTACATTCAAGCTGAAAATGGTGTACAAGTTTTGCTGTAATTTCCATGTTTATATGTTTTTTCTCAAAATGCTCTGCATCTGTGTACAACGTGTTAGGATCATAACTAGAAAACAAAGCTGTAGCTGCTGCGATATCACACATTGGGTTTTACTCTTAATTCTGAAGCTCAGTGCTGGGATTTTGGCCACTGTCCTGTTAAGTTTGTTTGAGCCGGAAGTTACCATGTCAAGTGCTGCTTGTTTTCTGCATCTTTTCACTTATTTTCTCTCCCTTTTTGTTTACTATTGCCATATTACACATGGACTTGTAAATAATAAAAGATATAGATAAATAAATAAAGACAAGAAAATTGAATTAAAATAAAAATACAAACAAGAGGAGCCTATAGAGAGACTATATAGCTCATCTTGGAAAATTGAATTTGTTTGGCACAACAGTCCATTCAGATGCTGATTCTGACTGCAAGACTTACCAGATATGACATTTAAAAGAAGATGAAGAAGATGTTGCTGTGTCTGCATGAGAGGGTGGCATTCTAACTTATCAGCTTGTTAGCAAGTTGCCTCATAAGCTGTAAAGGTACATTGTTTAGACGCACATATCTGCTGACTGATGATGCAACTACATAAAACTCTTGGATGGGCACAGAGAAAGCAAAGCTCTTTGCCACATAGGCCAGCCAAAACAGTTACACTCATACCTCCAGCATCCAGAAATAGATGATTTATTTTGCATTAGAACTGTTAAGTTTTTAATTTTTTTTAATTATTATTTTTTAATTAGTAATTTCAATTTACAAGTCTATGTGGATTGAGCAAAAGGCAACCTCTGAGGCTAAACAAATTAAGGCTCCATGGACTAGCAGAAGTGCAGATCCTCTAATGGCCACTTGAGGATTCAAAAGGGAGTTAATTCCAGAAGAAGCACATGTTACAATGCCTAATTTTACAGTATTAAAATACATATTAACAGCATGGTAGGAAAAATGGTTTGCAAAAAAAGTGATGCTTGATAGTTTCCCTCTTGATCATAATTATGTTTAGTGTGATGTTAATTTTTATTTTATAACTCATCAACTTGGAGGTGCGTTAGCAGTGTGGCCTCATTAATTGACAGGTGTCCTGACACAGGCAGCTGGAGTCCATCAGCGTCTGCTAGTAGTCATCTGTGCTACTCTGAGCCATTACACTGATGCTCTTCACCGTGTGTGCTGTTGGCGCCTTTTGGGAGATGTTTAATGGATTAGCTGACTAATGTTACAACTTCCTGTGTGATATAGACCAAGAAATTTGTACTCCACTTTTGGTGAATTAAAATCTAGTGTTTTATTAGTCAGTTACTTAGCAAATGATGATAATATGACTTTATGAATACAGGTTGCTAACCACGCTCGCTAGCATTAGGTGATAAATTAGCACAGCACCCTTCATCCATATATGGTAACAAACATGCGGTATCCTAACACAGTGATACATTGGCATATTGATGTCACAGTGGCTAATTCCATAGGGTTCATTTGCTTTTGTAGCCAACCTTAAATGGCCAATTAAGTAACTGAAGTTCTTGGCACTTCCCCATTGA